AGTATTTCTTTTTTTAAAATCATTTTGTCAGACTGATATGCAAAGCGTACAAGTAAATTTTCTCTTTGGAAAGTGGTGGCACAGAGTTCTCCACGTCGTGTGGATGCGATAGTAAAACACGATGGACGGATAGGGTTAAAACTTAAAAGCTCCATAACGACTTAAAAATGTGCATTGTTTGCGACATCGACGTAATGTGACTCTACAACGAGCAGTTGGGGTAGTTATAAGTTCCAGTGCTTGGTAACTTGGGCGGCATCGCCCAATCGCTACCTCAGAATTACAAAGTTTTATCTGCTCAGTACCTAGGTTTGAGAAATTTGACGTCAAAGATTTTGAGTTTCATAACATGTAAAGATTTTTCGAATGCAATTCTTTAAATATCTTGATAACGACTCCAAATAATCTTGCGATTTTGATATAGCAGATAAAACATTTGGTTTCTGACATCCCGTACTAAAACGCTTACTAAAACAAAACTCGCAACGGCCAAAATGTCAGACAGAACTTTGTAATTCTGAGGTTGCGCACTACTAGTGGTGTTGTAACGTTGCTGGGTGGTATGGATCATCCAAGCAGTGACCGGTGTTATTAGTTAATGCCCCGCCTAGAAATAGATATGAAGGGCACAGGCAGAAAAGGGCAGAGTCACAAACTGGGAATGGTGAGGGTATCAATTTAAAGAGCTTACTTGTAGACTCCAAAGAGAAAGAGAGGAAGGCAGAGAAGGAGATTGGAGGACAACATTACAGAGTGGACAGGAAAGACGATGGACAACAATCTGAGGAGAGCAGAGGACAAAAATAGATGGCGAGAGCTGGTTTTCCAATGCAGTGGTGCCCCAACGGTTGCCCCAACCACGGGATAAAAGAAGAAGAAGAAGAAGAAGACTCCAAACTTTATTTGTGTTCAACTGTTATTTGATAAGTATTGTTTCCTTTCTTAAGGCGTTTTTTCAACGTACAGCAGTGCTGCTCTATATCTACATTATATCATCATCATATCTGTATGTCCACAGAGCTGACTCAAAGACACAAAGGCAAGTACTGCTCTATATCACCACGTTTCTACGTCCACATAGCTGTCACAAAGACAAGTCCTGCTCTATATCATTACATGTCCACAGATCTGACACAAAGACAAGTCCTTTTCTAGATCATATTTGTAAGTCCACAGATCCGAAACAAACGCGGGTACTGCTCTATATCGTCTCGTTTTTGTCCACAGAGCTACCACAAAGACAAGTCCTTCTCTTTTTCACCCTATTTGTATGTCTACAGAGCCGGCACAAAGACGAGCATTGCTCTCTATCATCATAACTGTATGTCAACACATCTATATCATCATACCTGTGTGTCAACACATCTATATCATCATACCTGTATGTACACACGTATCTCATCATGTTTGTATGTTCACACATCTATATCATCATACCTGTGTGTCTACACATCTATATCATCATATTTGTAGGTCCACAGAGCCGGTACAAAGACACAAAGACGAGCATTGCTCTATATCATCATATGTGTATGTCCACAGAGCCGGCACAAAGACAGGCACTGCTCTATATCATCATATGTGTATGTCCCCACATCTATAATATCATCACATGTGTATGTCCAGAGAGCCGAAACAAGGACAGGCACTGCTCTATATCATCACATGTGTATGTCCAAAGAGCCAAAACCAAGACGAGCATTGCTGTATATCATCATACCTGTATGTCCACACATATATCATCATACCTGTATGTCCACACATATATCATCATACTTGTATGTCCACACATATATCATCATACCTGTATGTCCACACATATATCATCATACCTGTATGTCCACACAACCGACACAAAGACACACAAACGAGCATTGCTCTATATCATCATCTGTGTATCTCGACACATCTATTGGTCGCTTTTAAGGACAAGTGGGCCAACCCAGATTTCGTGGGTTTACAGAAATCTTGACCTACACAAAAAGTGGGAATTGTCCTATCAATAGGAAAAGTTTGGTTTCATTGGTGTGTATATTTGTTTGGTTATTGTCAAAACTCTCCTTGTCTTTGATAAAGAAACTAATCAAGGGGCAAATACTTTACCTTCGATTTTCTCAAAACAGTATTTTTCGGGATAGCCCCCTTATGCTTAAAAGCGACCCATCGTATGTGTATGTCCACAGAGCCGGTACAAAGACGAGCATTGCTCTATATCATCAAACCTGTATGTCCACAGAGCCGGTACAAAGACGAGCATTGCTCTATACCATCATACCTGTATGTCCACACAGCCGGTACAAAAACGAGCATTGCTCTATACCATCATCTCATGTGTATGTCCACAGAGCCGGTACAAAAACGAGCATTGCTCTATATCATCTCATGTGTATGTCCACAGAGCCGGTACAAAGACGAGCCCAACAGTCGGGCGTCCTCCGGTCGGTCGTCCAGGGCAGGGAGTGATTATCCCGACGACACCAGGGAACAGAAGAAAAAGTTTCGGCGTAAGAAGTAGAAGTAGTCATACTTGTAGTTGTAGAAGTAGTAGCTGTAGTAGTGGTAGTAGTAGTAGTAGTAGTAGTAGTAGTAGTAGTAGTAGTAGTAGTAGTAGTAATGGTTGTTGCTGCTCCTGTTGTTGCTCCTGTTATCGTTGTTGCTGTTGTTCCCACTGTTGTTGTTATGCATGTTGTAACTGTCCTTTATGTTGCTGTTGTTGTTACTGATGCTGTAATTGTTCTGGCTACTACTGTTGTTGGTTTTGATGCCGCTACTCGGAGTGTTACCGCTGTTGTTGCAGTTACAGTTATTTTTGTTGTTGCTATCGTTCTTCTTGCTGTTGTTTTTGCTGCTGTCGTTCTTGTCGCTATCGTTGTTTTACCTACTGTAGCTGTAGTAGTTATTGCAGTGGGTGGTTGGCGGGTGCTATGGTGTGGTTTGCTTCTTCTTTCCTATCAAATGTCTCTCGTCTTGTTCTTATCTCCTTTTTTTCTATGTTTGTTACTCTCTTGTAACACCTCTAATCTTTGGCACTTATATGACCTTATTGTGTTGCAAGCGCCGCAAAACTCTTATCAAAACTAAACTTAAAGTAGTTATTGCTGCTGTTTTTGTTGTCGCCATCTTTGTTATCGCTATACTTATTGTTGCTGTTGATGTTACTGCTGCTGTTGTTGTTGCCACTATTATTTCTGCTGTCGTCGTTGTTTCTGTACGTGTACGTGAGTGTGTCCTAGACTCCCGCGACTAACTCCGTGTTTCAGCCCCTTGCCCTGGGAAAGTGGACACCACTCAGGTCGTCTTCTGCGAACCTTGCCACGCCCAGCGCTTCAGGATTGTCCTGGACACCATCCGCCTGGCCTTCTCCGACGACCAGGTCAGCTCCTGCCCGTCCTCGCAGCCCAACCCAGCCACCCCTCATAACGGATCCTCCCCCCTTTCACAAAGTCGGAGGAGCCCCAGACCGCTCACCCCGAGCTACCCTCTAAGCGCGCGTGACTCGATGAACAGATTCCAGCCCCAGACCCCGCCCACCGGCGCTCAGATGGCCAAGTCTCCGCGCTACTCGGGCTACGGACAAGCCGTCGGTGGCAATAATATGACGACTTTCTCCCCCAACAACCCCTATGCATTAAACCGGGCCCCTCCCGGAGACCAGCCCGGCAACGTTCAGGGTTCAAACTTCCAGCCTCCCAACTGGCAGGCGGCCGGCCAAGCCCCAGATCCGTACGCAAGCCCCGGGGTTCCAACCCCGCAGTGCGGCGGCGTGTGTCCTCAGCAGCCCACGGCTTGTTCTACCGGCCTAGCCCCCCTTTGCCCTGAGGCGCCTGTCGGTTTTGCGGCCGCCAACTCCTCCCCCTATCCTGCACAGCCGCTCCAAACACCCATGGTTCCCCAACAGTCTCTTCAGACGTTGATAGCTTCTCAACAATCATTCCATACTCCCATGGCACCCCCTCAGTATCCAGCAGACAAGTTTCCAGCCCCAGCCCCTCAAGGATTTGGGTAAGTACGCATAATATATTATTATATTACAGGCCTGAAATACTAGGAACAGGGGCGAAGCGTCTATATAATCAAATAATCACTGCTTCCCTTCCTAATTTTGAAACATTGTCGCTGTCAAATTCATCCATAAACGTAAACCTCTTAAATTAAATGTCAAAAGACGTTCGTAATCAACAATGAACAGTATGCCTAACATTCAAAACGGTTTCACGGCCACAGAAATAGCCTCCTCACCCCTCTCAGGCCACTCCATAAGCAGTCGCAAGCTTCGATTAAGTAAGCTTAAAGTGAGGCTGGAAGAGTCCACCAATATAGTTGAAGGGAACATGTGCATAGCAGTCTAAGCTGTTTCACTGCCACATATACCCTGTTCACCCCTTTGGGGTCACAGTTAAAATCAATCTCAAGCCCTGATTATGTAAGCTAACTAACACTGGTCGAGTCTACCTCACAAATGTGAGGGGAACTAACTCCTAACAATCTCTTCACTGTTGCAAGTACTTGCTTTTTTTCCTCGACTTTTTACCGTCCTATAATCAGATCGTGACCTCGATTATGACACCAGCTCCAAGCCGCGGAAGGCTAACAAAAACAGCCAAATGTAAAATTTAAAAAATGATAATTGTCATGTTCTACCAAAGAGTTAGACTCACTGGTAGATCTATAACATATAGATCTAGTACTGACGTCTCTGCTTCTTTGCTTTGTGTTTATGTATTCACATCTAAAGTTAAATTTAATTTTAGTTGGAACTGATATTTAATAAGATACTTTCCCGATTATTTTGGCGGTTGAACATACAATATGAATTCCGGATTTGTTTTCATTCACAACTCAGAGTCGCCGCCTCGAGTAAGATTCTTGTGTCATATCTAATAATAATAATAATAGATAGCATTTGTATAGCGCATATCCCCGCTCAACAGCAGGCTGTATGCGCTTTACACTATATTATTACCCCAGCAGACCATGGAACACTCCGAAACATTCTCAGCTTCCCGGGAAGCATACAGTGCGAGCAGCCGATTAAGCGCTCAAACACTAACAAACTGACAAGATCTTTTGCTGTCTATAGCCGGGTACCCATTCCCACCTGGGTGAAGTGAGGAAAATTCGTGTAAAGTGCCTTTCCCAAGGACACAACGTCGGGCCCTTGACGGGATTCGAACCCACGACTTTACGGTTGCGAGTCCGAGAGCCTAACCACTAGGCCACCGACGCCATATCTGGTCCCGTTTCACTTTGATTACCCTGTCAAACTAGTCAGCCTTCGCCCCTGACTAGGAATACCTGGAGGTGTCGTCTCTGACACAGAGGTTGACATGTAATGACCCTCCAGCCTTCACGGCCGCCAGCTTCCGTTTCATAGTCTGCCATACCCAGACCAGTCCATGTCTAAAGGTCATCCGTCCTTGTTACTCTTTGTCTTCTATTGTCTCTCCTGTCCGAATATCTAATGAGCAAAACATTATATAGGCTTTTGAATAAGAGTTCTTAAAGGCAGTGTGTGGCCAACCCTTCTGTACGACAGTGACTACAAGCACTGGACAACAAAGATAGTGAAAATGAAATACACGCGAAAAAAATTGTATTCTTAGAAGACTGTTAGGAACTGTTTAGAATGATGGGAGGTATGACTGTCTATGTCTATCTCTCCATTTCATGTATGTATCTGCAATAGAACCTTTCCAAGACGACAGCCATCTTCGAGGAGGAAGGTAGTCACCTTAGAAGGTGGTTATCTTGGGCAGTGAGCAGGTTCAACTGTATTTTCGCGGATGTTTGATGGTAAAGAACAAAATTCAAATCGTCATATCTCTCACTTACATAAGTTATCCTTACATCACATCACCCTCCAGCCCCGCCCCCTCGCCAGGTCAGGGGGCGTACCCAGCGGGCCCTCCGCCCGGAATGACAGCTGAAAGCCCCGCCCCTTTCCCTCCGGCTTTTCCCGCGTACGGACCCCCTGACCCCTACGCCTACCACAGTCCCGGAGGTCCGCCTCCGCCAGCACAAGCTGGGGACAACCCCCGCGGCCAAGACCCCTACGCCTTAGGGAACGGGAACGACAAGGTTCTTTTCTGTGCGCCGGCGTGTCTGGTACAGCTGGACAAGAAGAAGGTAATGCCATGGTTTTTGGTTGTTGTTGTTTTTGTTTTTGTTTTTGTTTTTTTGCCGGGGGTTGGGGGTTGTTGGGTTTTTTGTTTTGTTGTTGTTGGGGTTTTTTTGTGGTTTTTTGTGGGTTTTTTGTTCTGTTGTTTTTTTCTGTAGCACTGTCTGTGTTTACCAAAAGCCGCAAAAGGTGTGGTCATTGTCACTCAAGACAATAGGTATAATCAATGTGAGAGAAATCAAGCCATCGGCATGCTTTGCGGGTTTCTACTGGTTGCCATCACGTGGATATTTTGTCCTGGGCACTCAGGAGTGAAGAGCAATGAGAAGGCTGATAGGCTTGCAGGAAGCGCCGTGGTTGATGGTAAGGTGAAATTTGAAAAAGGAGAAGTGTTGAAGACCCTGGAGGAAAAGTTGCGGGATGAGGAGGACAGGGAGACAGCAGGACACCACGCAATCATCAGGATGCAGGAAATGGGGATAGAGAGGGGAGAAGGCAGAAAGGAACGATTATCTGGAAAGGAAAGACGTCGCCATAATTAGACAGCCACAAGAACAATCAGTATAGATACCTTGCGGGTTTTGGTGCTGGGAAGAACTGAGCACTTATGGACCTGTCTGGTGTGCAATGGCGTTGTTGCCCAGGACAGGTAATACAGGTATTCAACTGGTTGCCATGACATTCAACGCTCAACGCTGATTTTATGTTGAAGTTGAATGTCCTGGCAGAAAGGCTTACAAAATCAAAAAGTGGTCCGTGTTTTCTTTCTTTTTTCTTTCTTTTTTTTTCATCGTCAGTATAGAAGTGGAGCATTTCAAGTCAATTTAAACTAACAATTTTTGCCCCTCCACCTTCCCCAAAAGACAACAAGCAATCAAAACTCACAAGAATAACAACACATTCTAACAAATCAGGACAGCATTATTCAAATATGAACCAAGGGGCACTAGATATTTAGGGTTAACTTTTGTCATCCCCCCCCCCCCCCCCAAATGATTTATTTACTTACTAAATAATAAATTAATCATTAAACTTTCCAGCCCAAACCCCAAAAGGTAAACAAATAAATGAACAAATGAATAATCAATCGAGCAGCCAACCGATCAATCAGCCAATCAATCAATCAATCAAAGAATCAATCAATCTAAACAATCAATTAATCCTCCCAGAACTGGCGTGAGGGGCTCCGCGGGTACCTGAAAGTGCTACAGCGAGCAGTGGGTGTGGGCTTCAATCAATCAATCAATCAATCAATCAATCAATCAATCTAAACAATCAATTAATCCTCCCAGGACTGACGTGAGGGGCTCCGCGGGTACCTGAAAGTGCTACAGCGAGCAGTGGGTGTGGGCTTCAATCAATCAATCAATCAATCAATCAAAGAATCAATCAATCTAAACAATCAATTAATCCTCCCAGAACTGGCGTGAGGTGTACCGCGGATACCTGAAGGTGCTACAGCGAGCTGTGGGCGTGGGTTTCAGCCTACTGCTGGAGAGTCCTGACGGCGTCATCTGCAGCCACCATTTTATCTCCCGGGACATGACCTTTGAACCCTCCTGCAAAACGCAGTACGGCTTCTGCTTCTCCTCCGTGGCTCGATGTGGCAGGTAGATCTACTCTCTTTCTGTTTGTGTGTGTGTATGTGTGAGTGTGTGTGTGTGTGTGTGTGCTTGTGTGTTTGTGTGCATCTGTGTGTATATGTGTGTGTCTGTGTGGGCCTATGAGTGTGTGTGTGTTTGTGTGTGTGTTTGTGAGTGTGTGTTTATGTGTGTGTGTGCCTTTGTGTGTGTATGTGTGTATATGTGAGTGTGTGTGTGTTTGTGCCTGTGTGTCTGCCTATGTGTGTGAGTGTATGTGTGTTTGTGTGTGTGTGTGTGTGTGTGTGTGTGTGTGTGTGTGTGTGTGCCTATGTGTGTGCCTGTGTGTGTGGGTGGGTGTGTGGGTGGGTGTGTGTGTCGATGGCTGAGCGCCAGAAGTGACCCTAACTACTTTTGGTCATAACAGAGCAATCGATATGGGTGGTGAACTTTTAATTTAAACCGCTCTTTTGCATCTGTAAATATCTAAGCCGTAGGTTGAATCAGCAACGAGATATTAACTTTTTTTTTACTATGTTATAGAGATTTCAGAATCGTCAAAATTTCAAACTCGTTTTTGTCTCAAGAGTGGATATAGTCACTTCTTTCGCTCTGCCATCGGCATGTGTGTGTATGTGTGTGTATGTGTCTGTGCCTATGTGTGTGTGTGTGTGTGTGTGTGTGTGTGTGTTTGTGTGTGCCTATGTGTGTGAGTGTGAGTG